AGTACTCAACTCTGCTGTTGTAATTGAAAGCAGCTATAGGCAATACAGAAACACATGGGCTTAACTATGTTTCAGTAAACCTTTTTTTAATGGGTGTTTGAAGTTTGAATTTCAAGTAATTTTCATGTGTCATGAAATAATTCATAAATTTTTTTCCTCATTTAAAAATATAAACTCCTTTCTTAGCTTGTGGACCATAGAAAAGTAGGTGGCAGTCCAGATTTGGCCTGTATGGTCATAATTTGGACCAGAGTGTGAGGTTTATTAAACCTGTGGATAAGAAGCCAGGAAACTAGTATAGCTCTTTAGGGTGTCATCCCAAAGTTAGCTGGACAAGGAATTCTCCAATATCCTGTCCTAAGTGTGAGCATGAAGCAGTGATGGCACAAAAGTTGGCAGAAGCCAGCCTTGCCTCTGAATCAGTCATGCTAAGGCCTCAGGGCAAAAGGCACCCAATTACAGACTTTTTGGGGCTTCATTCCTCTTTTATGTCTCAGCCCAGTAATTTTCACTGTCTTGGCCATTTGATGCCTTTAAGAAGATATCTTTTTTTATCCAGCTTTTTAAATTGTCTTCAGCAAGAGGGTCTCCATTACTTATTCTACTGTACTGGAAGGCAAAAAAGTATTGAGTACATTCATTTTAAGTTTAGCTGGGTTTGCTTGCTTGTTTTCTTTTTTCAGATGCCTAGGTTTGGGGAGGAGTAAATGGAGGTGGGGAGGAGTAAATGGAGGTGGGGAAGACACAGGGATGATAAGTATAAAGTTTAAAACTTTATTTGTCCTTGCATATGACAGAAGACAGTATTGTTGTTAGGCGCCATCTAGGCAATTCCAACTCATAGAGACCCTGTGTACACCAGAAAGAAACACTGAGCCATCCTCACAGCCATTGCTGTTTAAGCCCACTGCAGCAGCCACTGTGTCAGTCTATCTCTTTAAGAGTCTTCTTTTTTACTGACTGTCTACTTTGTTGTTGTTGTTGTTACGTGCTGTCGAGTCAAATCCGACTCATAGCGACCCCTCCTTGGGTTTCCGAGGCAGTATCACTACGGAAGTAGGATTGCCCAGCCTTCCTTCCGAGGAGTGGCTGGTGGGTTTGAACCGCCAGCTGTCTGGTTAGCAGGCAAGTGTCTTAGCCACTATGCTACTGTCTACTTTACCAGGGACTAATAATACTTCCTGGTAACAGATGAAGTCTCACCATCCTTGCATCTAACAAGCATTCTGAATGTACTTCTAAGACAGATTAGTTCATTCTTCTGGCAGTCCATGGTATGCTTAATATTCATCACCAGCATCATAATTCAAAGGCATCAATTTTTCTGTGATCTTCCTTATTCACTGTCCAGCTTTCATATGCATAGGAGGCAATTGAAAAGACTGTGGCTTGGATCAGGAGCACCTTAGTCCTCTAAGTGACATTTTTGCTCTTTAACACTTTAAAGAGGTCTTTTGCAGTGGATTGGCCCAATGCAGTACATCATTTGATTTCTTCACTGCTGCTTCTATTGGCATTGATTTTGTATACAAGTAAAAGAAAATTTCTTGACTGAAATGTCTTTTCTCCATGTATTGCAGTATTGCTTATTTGTCCAGTTGTAAGGGGTTTTGTTATCTTTATGTTGAGGTGTAATCCATACTGAAGGATGTAGTCTTTGATCTTCGTTAGTAAGTGCTTCAAGTCCTCTTCCCTTTCAGCAAGCATGATTGTGTCAATTGTGTATGGCAAGTTGTTAATGAGTCTTTCTCCACTCTTGATGCCACATTTTTCACATACTCCAGCTTCTTGGATTATTTGCTCAGCATATAGATTGAATAAGTGTCTGAAAGGTTACAATCCTGATGCACACCTTTCCTGATTTTAGACTACACAGTATCCCCTTGTTCTGTTTGAACAGTTGTCTCCTGATCTATGTACATGTTCCTCATGAGCACAATTAAGTGTTCTGGAATCCCATTCTTCACAATGTTACCCATAATTTTTCATGATCCACACAGTTAAATATCTTTGCATAGTCAATAAAAAATACGTAAACATCTTTCTGGTATTCTTTGCTTTCAGCCAAGATCCATCTGACATTAGCAGTGATAGCGTTCCATGTCCTCTTCCGAATCCAGCTTGAATTTCTGGCAGTTCCTTGTCAGTGTACTGCTGCAACTGTTTTTGATTATCTTCAGCAAATTTTACTTAGCTTGTGTTATTAATGTTATTGTTCAATAATGTGCACATTTTGTTGGATCACATTTCTTTGGAATGGGCACAAATATGGGTGAAAAACATGAAGCCAAAGATGAAGAAATTGAAGATTTCTACCAACTTCTGCAGTCTGAAATTGATCAAACATGCCATCAAGATGCACTAGTAATTAGTGGTGATTGGAATATGAAAGCTGGAAATGAAAAGGATCAGTAGTTACAAAATATTCCCTTGTTGATAGAAATGACCCTGGAGATTGCATGATAGAATACTGCAAGGCTAACAACTTATTCATTACAAATACCTTTTTTCAACAACATAAATGGCAACTATACACATAGACCTCAGCAGATGGAATACAAAAGAATCAAATTGACTACATCTGTGGAAAGAGACTATGGAGAAGTTTGTTATCAGGCAGAATAAGGCCATGGGCCAACTGCAGAACAGACCATCAGTTGCTCATATGCAGATTAAAGCTAAAGTTGAAGAAAATTAAAGCAATCCATGAGAGCCGAAGTTTGACCTTGATTATATCCCACCTGAATTTAGAGAGCAACTCAAGAATAGATTTGACACATTGAACACTAATGACCAAAGACTGCACAAGTTACAGGTTGATATCAAGGACATCATACATGAAGAGACCAAAAGATCATTAAAACAAAACCAAAATGGATGTCAGGAGAGACTCTGAAACTTGTTCTTGAGTGGAGAGTAGCTAAAGCAAAGAGAAGAAATGAAGTAAAAGAACCGAACAGAAGATTTAAAAGGTGGCTTGAAAAGACAAAGTAAAGTATTATAATGAAATGTGTAAAGACCTGGAGTTCGAAAACCAAAAGGGAAGAACACTGGCATTTCTCAGGCTGGAAGAACTGAAGAAGAAATTCAAGTCTTGAGTTGCAAAACTGAAGTATACTGTGGGCAAAATGTTTGACGATGCAGGAAGCATCAGAAGAAGGTGGAAGGAATACACAGAGTCACTGTATGAAGAAGAATTGGTTGACCTTCAACCATTTCAGTAGGTGGCATATGATCAAGAACTGATGGTATTAAAGCAAGAAGTCCAAGGTATACTGAAGACATTGGTGAAAAACAAGGCTTCAGGAATTGATGGCATTCTGATTGAAATGTTTTAGCAGATGGTTGCATCACTGGGGGGTGCTCACCCATGTATGCCAAGAAATTTGGAAGATAGCTACCTGGCTTACTGATGAGAAGAGATCCATCTTTGTGCCCATTCCAAAGAAAGGTAATCCAACAAAATGTGGACGATAAGTTAAATATATTCTCAGCACATGTTTTATCAACTATGTTTTGTCTTTCTCTTTCAAACATTTGATTAAAACAACTAAATGGCAAAACTAATTAATTCATTTTGACCAACCACTTACTGGAGGCTTGTGTGAAACATTAGTGAAGTAGACATTTACTAATGAGAAAATTCGTATACTGATTCATTTTTTGAAAATCAGAAGTGATCTTCTGATGTCTTCTGATGTCTTTCTTTGAACTGAAACTAAATAAAAAGTAAGGAACTGAGAAGTTGTGGTTATTTAACTACCTAATTTTATGCTTAGGCAATCTTGAAGGCACTAACTTTTGTCTTAAATAGATCATAAACATACCAGGGATAAAAAGGGCTAGCTGTGTGTTGTCCTGTGCCCATCCCTTACACCCACTGTCCCCATCCCCAATTTTCATCCTCATGTGGCATTTTGTCTCCAGATAACATTTTCAAATAAAATTGCAGATGGCAAACAATGTCACTATGCACATTTTCACCTTTTGGGAATCATACGCAAACTGTGCTCTCTTTTCATTGTACTCTTATGTTGTTCATGTTGTTCCCTACGTGTCACTAAATACTCTTGAGGACCATTTTTTTTTCCTCCCCCTATCTATGCAGTCTCTTTAATACTGTTTTCTAATCATTTTTCAGCTATCTCAAACTCAAATGCATCTCATAATTCTGTTCATGAGCTAAACAAGTAACTTAATAATGCTGTTAAGTAAAGAAAAATAATAGCTATTAGTTATTGAATACTTTTGGGTTGACAAGTATTGTTGTATTTGTGATACATCGTTGTGAAAGAATGGAAAAGCTAAACGTTTTGCAGTGATATTGCATGTAATAAAGAATGTGTCACAAATCATACTACTAGGAGATACTTGGACTTAGTGACCTATGATATGACCCACCTTGGAATTGTTGGAATTGTGTGTCTGTGTTTCTGTCTCTGTGTGCTGCAGAATGATAGGTTGGAAAAAGTTGCCAGCATCCTCCCAAGTTCTTTGGAATGCCAGAGTGTCCCTTAGAATTTCTCTAAAAGTTCATACTTTCTTCATTATTTAAAGCACTTTATTTTGTTTTTAGGCTTTGGAGAGCTAGGTTGGGAATTTAAAATAAATAACAATATTTTAATGAAAAAATAGTTTTGAAGATCCAAGTTACTATCTTAAAAGGAGACTTTCACAGCACAGAGCTGCTTTGAATTTCTATGATAATTCATGCTAATTTTCTCAGTCACAACAGAACACGATTTTAATCTGACTTGTATGAAAGACAGTGAAATTTTTACTTTGTATGTGTGTGGCTATACCATCCGTTATCTGTAGGAAAGTTTTTCAGTGGCAAGGCATATATCTGATCTTTCATGTTTACTGATGACACCCAAATTTAGAACTGTGTGCTATGGCTACCTATATAGAAATGAAGCAGAATAAAATGACTTTCCTTTGTTTCTGTAGCTCCTTATTTATTTATTTTTTAAGTGCTCCTTATTAACTTTTTCTTTCAGGTTGTACCTACAACAGATCATATAGATACAGAGAAATTAAAAGCCAGAGAACAAATTAAGTTTTTTGAAGAAGTTCTTCTGTTTGAGGATGAATTGCATGATCATGGGGTTTCAAGCCTGAGTGTGAAAATTGTGAGTACTCTGAAGTTTTGTTTAAAATTAATTTCTCTCTTCTGTTCGGTGGAAATATAAGACTTAATTTAAAATCACACCAAGTCTAAACACATTATCATGGCTAGAATTCATCTTACTTACTGTCCATTGCAAAATTAATAGAAGATAGTTGATCGTTAGTATTTTGGGTTAGCAAACTTTTTTTTTTAAATAGACTTGGTCACTTTGTAGTTTCTTTGCTTATTTAACTTGGATAAAGTTAAATTAATTTTCATACTTTAAAATAATACTGATGCTGATAAAATCTGAAGACAACAAGGTGGATGTCAGTTAAAAAAATGACCGATGTGTCAGGATTTCATTGCACTGTTGAACCACCACTTCAGTGTCTAGCATAGAAGTGAAAAACAGAAAGGCCAAGTATAATAACTTCCCTTCTTTTGTCTTATTTTCTGTCAGGAGAGGACCAACTACTTTCATTAACAGCGCTGTTGGTGGCACATGCTTAAAAAGGATAATAATAAATAGACCAATGTTTGTTTATTAGTGGTTTGTATTTGATCTCTAACATTCTCTAGAAACACCTCAACTGAAACTTTATTTCATGCCTCATCCTTTAAGACTCATCTAGAATGTGATTTCCTCTGTGAAGCCTTCCATGACTCCCAAGGCAAAGTTAAACATCTCTTTTCCACACTCCAATAAGTACCTTTTTTTTTTTTTTTAATCCCTCAGTTAGCACTTACCACAAGGTCTGTCAAAGACCGGGACCAAACATCAGACATTATTCTTAGAACATAATAATTATCAGTGCTGTGATTTAAAACAATGATGAAAATGAATACAATAATACAAAAGCAGTAACAAATTTGTTTCAAAGTTTTTCTGTAGAATCACATAATTTTGGAACTATCATAGATGTTTAGAAAATTATTTAGTTGAGCCTCCATATTTTATAGACAAAGCCCCAAAATTAGTTTACCCAAGGTTGTAAAACTAATTAGTAACAAAGTTTTCTTTGTACCGTGTAATACATAATATCATTATTCTAGTGTTAGATTATAGTTTTCTTAATGCCTTACTTCCTTGCCTTTAACTCCCCCAATTTATCTTCTGTCATTTAGATTCATTCATTCCCCTACTCATCTAGTCATGTACCTTTCCCTTTTCTGTCCACCTACTAAACTGACTATAATGAATGCTTATTATGAGTTTGCATATCTGGTTGTGCATTTGTGTCCAAGTAAGTGGTTGTATTGATGATGACTATAAGTGAATAGGTATGTGGGGAGCAATTGTGTTTTGTGGAGGAAGAAGTTAGAGAAGGAGTGGGCATAAATGTATTATGTGTGTATCAGAGTTGTTACTAAGTCTCAAACTGAAGAGTAATGTCATCTTAAAATGTACTTTCTTCTTCCCTAGTTTACCTGTTATAAGTTATTTGATAATGTTGCATTTTGAAGAATGCCTGGAAAGATTTCATAGAATTGTGTCCTTTCTGGTTGATTTCTTTCCAGCAGTGTTACAGATAAATAAAATTAATGTCATAGTTTCTGGCCTAGAGGCAATGGGGTATGGACAAATGAAGTTCCCTTTTATATAAGCAAAGACTAGTTTAGTAAATATGGTTGTAGGCAAGAGACCAGGAATGTTATGCCTGGGAAGCTAAGGGGAAAGTTGTCAAGAAGGGGGACCTGGAGGTCAGTATCATGCTGTAGAGAGAAGTTTTGTAAGCTTAGAGTGGGATGGTTCTCATTGGATTAAGTAAAAATTTGTTTTTTGGGTTTAGCAATTAGGATATTGTTACTGACTTTGGCAAGAGCAGTTTAAGTTCCATGGTTAGGGAGTGACTAAAAGATGCAGAGGTAGAGACAGAAAGTATAGATGTGGACAAAACTTTCCAGAAGCTGGGAGAAGAAACAGACATGGCTAAGAGAGAGCATGAAGCCAGCAGAGGTGTGTGTAAATGTGTTTTTGTTTTTGTGATTTGGGGAAGACTTAAGCATGTTTATGTACTTATAGGAAGGAGCCACTGCAGAGGGAAGGGAGAAAGTCAATGGTGTAAAGTCTCTAAGTATGAGTAGTGGGGGGGGGGGAGAGGAAGACTTTAAGCTTTTGCTATATGTGAGGGACTGTGCTAGATATTTAATTACATTATCTCACTTATTCCCTGTGAAAATTCTGTGTGTGAATACTTTTAAGTCTTTATTTTACAGATGAGGTAGTGGAGAGTCTTAGATATCAAGTAATTTGTCCATGATCACCCAGGGAATCACTTTGACTCTGTCCATACTCATAATCCTCTAGTATCTAGATCTTGGTAAAGAGGTTAGCCTAAAATGAGAGAAGAGATGCTTCTTCCATGGTGACAAGAGGAAAGAGAAACAGAATGTAGGTAAATCTTGCTCTGCTCAGTGCTTCGCAAACCTGAAGTTTATCAGAATTACCCAGATTAGAGATTTAGTTGTCTTTTAACACAGTATGGTAAGGAATATATTTTTTATTTGATCCACATGGTATATTTGCTGTGTTTGTTGGCTGGAAAGATAGATCGACAGATACAGGGGGGAGGATTGGAAAGGAAGTAGATGAATAAAGTGTTCTTAGATGAAGTGGCCCCTGATCTGAGTTTTAGGTGTGTAAGTTTCCCCACCAGACTGAGTTGAGGCCCACTGGTAGAACAAGGTGATCACTTATGTGTTTCCTGAGCTTGTGGTTTGTGAGAGTGCTGATCAATTCAGCCGTCATATTACTGGCTACTGGCTACTGGCTACTGGCTACTGGCTACTGGCAGAGAATGAAATAGAGTACCTTATCAGGTCTGTTCCACTTAAAGCTTCCTTAAGGAGGTCATTTAATTTGCCTTTTTCTTTAAAGCTTTTCCTGACTTAAAAATCTACATTTTCCCAGTTACTTTCAAATAAAATCTATACCATCACAGAATATTTTTAGTTTAGCAAATCTTTCTAAGAAATTTCTTTAAAAAAAAACAAAAACATTTATTTTTAAGGACTACCTGATCTCTCTTTTGTTGCTAAAAAGCTTACTAAAAGTTTGATTAGGAATATGTATAGAAATGAGTTTTTTCTTATTTATCACATATGGGTTCCATCTCCCTTTTATACCACTCTACTTTGCAAATGGCCTTGGAATCATCTGGGGGTAATAGAGTATTCATTGCTGTTACTTAGTGTTTTAACTTGGGCTGGAAAACTGCTAGCAGTTTTTTTTTCCTAGAAAAACTGAATTGGTTTGGAATTACAAAACTAATTGTTTATGAATATTTGTGTCTGTGTTTCCATAATAATTACAAGGTATTCTGAAAAGAAATGCTATTGAAATAGGAAAGCTCCTTTCGTAAAATATATTATTTTAATAGATTTGTGATGTCGTTGGATAGAGCCTTTTAGGTTGTGCCTAAGGCGCTTGACTGCTAACCAGAAGGCTGGCGGTTCAAACCCACCAGCCACTCCTCGGAAGGAAGATGAGGCAATCTACTTCCATAGTGATACTGCCTTGGAAACCCAAGGAGGGGTCGCTATGAGTCGGTCCGATTCGATGGCACATAACAACAACAACAACATAACTTATGTTACTCTTTCAGTGTTTCAGAGTGGTTTTCCACCTTATGTTTTCAGTTCCAAACTTACCAAATTTATATTTTAAAAAATCATGATTTCCATGGAAACAACCTAGGTGTCCATCAACTGAGGAATGGATATCCAAATTATGGTACACATACACATAATGGAATACTATGCAACCATAAAGAATAATGTAGAATCTGCAAAACACCGCATAACATGGATGAACTTGGAGAACATTATGCTGAGTGAAATAAGTCAATCACAAAAGGACAAATACTGTATTAGTCCGTTATTGTAAAAGTCAAGGAAATGCTTATCTGTGGAAGGACATTTTCTTTGTTGGTTACAAGGGGTGGCAGGGAAGGGTAGAGAATACAGTTAGATAGATAAAGTTTTGATTTGGGTGAAGAGAAAGGCAATGTACCAAATGTGAGTGGTCAGTATAGTGGCATTGAGGAAGAGAAAGAGAGAGGTACATGGGAAGTACAGACAACAAAGAAGATGAACCCTTTTGCACATATAGTACGATGTGGTCAGTGAAGGCAAACACGGGTAGATGAGTGGACAGGCTGAACTATTAGCTATGTCTATGAAGTGGGGAGTGCAGGAGTGCACCCAGCAACATGTATAGGGTTGACAGACAGTGGTCCTATAACTATGTATATGATCAGAATTCCCATGTGTATAATGGAGCTGACAAGGGGCAAGGTTGTAGTCACAGCCAGCTACCCATAGGGACTGAGTAGTTGAACCTGTGGGCTCAGGACCATAGTCGCAGAGGACATCAAGCTCAATTAGCATAACATACTACACAAAACATGGTTCCATCTCCTACTGTGGCGAGTAGCAACTGGGATCTTAAAAGCTTGCAAGCTACCATCTAGATGCAACGATGGGTCTCTCCTTGTTCAGAGCCAAGAAGAATGAAGAAAACCAAAAATTCATGGAAACAATTAGTCCTAGCGACTAGTACACCATCTGATCTGCAGCCTGTACGACTATGAGACCAGAAAAATTAGATGGTGCCCAGTTACTATTGTCACCCACTTGGAAGAGGATCTATGTAGGAGATCCTTGATAGAGAATAATGTGGAACAAAACTCAAAATCATTTGGAAAAAAAGGGAGGGGCGAACCAGGTTTGCTGGCCTGATGGAGCCTGGTGGAACCACTGAGACTATGGCCCCTAGCTGCCCCTCTGGTCTGGAATTGAACCCACACCTGTAGCTTCCAGCCAAACAGTGGACAGGCATATGAGTTGAACATTTACCTGAGGTAGGTTTACTCCTTGGAGAGAACAAGCATGGGAGAAAGAAGAGCTGTTTATGCACAGGGAGACAGCTCAGGGGGCAGGAGTGCATGGAGGGATGGACACAGAGAAGAGGTAACTGTTGGGAGGAAGTGGGAGGGGAGATGTTGCATTGTGGTAAAT